AGTTGAGCTTGTTTTCCTGTGCCATTGCCTTGAGTAAATAACATCCTAAAGTATCTTAGATAGTTTCTGGAAAATTTAGGAGTTCTCTAAACGTGGAACAACAGATGCACAGAACATCTGGGTGGTAGGCTCCTTGCAATGCTTCAAGGGTCCCATTGTCCCTGACAGCTAGAGTCCATCTGCCAGAGTGGGCATCTGGAAGCTCCTAAAGTTAGAAAGTCTTTTTTTATTGGTTTATCTCAAATAAACTTTTGGGACCTAGATCCTCATATAGTGCTCGAAGCTTCTGCCCAAATTTCCAGATCTTCACCATGCACCAAATGCTTGTTTTTTTAAAAAAATACATTATTTCTGTATTAGAAATTTTTATTCACATTTCACTGACAAAGCCATAACATATCCTACAATAAGTAAATTGTAATAAGCTCCTGATATGTGATTTTTGAAGAACTCTTATGTATATAATCTTATTTGATACAGCAGCACCTGTAGATAGGCAGGGCACATATCAGTTGGAATATGATTAATCTTGTTTTGTAGAAGTGGACAGCACAGAGATTCTATCCAGACCTCATATAACGTGCCAGCCCTGGAGCTCAACATGCTCTGTCTTTCTAGGATAGTTCTCAGCCACGGAGCATTCTACTAAGTTTGGACGTTATTAAGCTCAGTTCTTGAGGAAGAATGGATATTATAGATATTCACTTTTTAGATGAGAAAATGGAGGCCCAGAGAACTAAAGTGACTTGCTCAAGGTCACACAGCTAATGAGGGTCAGAACTCGATTTCAGATCTTCTCACTCCTACTAGATATAGGACCACACTGATTGGATTGATGGGGAAAGCCAACTTTTGAGAGTGTTGCTTGTGTGAAATGGAAAGATTTGAATTGGGGGCTGTTGGTATATGGTCTCTAAGACTGAGCTTTGGGAGTGGCATTTCCATTCTTCCTCAAGAACTGAGCTTAATAATGTCAAAACTTAGTAGAATGCTCCGTGGCTGAGAACTATTCTAGAAAGACAAAGCATGTTGAGCTCCAGGGCTGGCATGTTATATGAGGTCTGGATAGAATCTCTGTGTTGTCCACTTCTACAAAACAAGATTAATCATATTCCAGCTGATGACTCACTACCACACATCTGAAGACATCAAGGATTAATAGCACTACAAACCACTTGGCCAAAATAATCCTCAACTTGGGTCACCTTGTGAATCTCAGACCAATCCCTCCACCCTTCTTATCAGGCCTGAGGGTTCACATTCTTTCTACTTTCTCTTCGAGTAAGTAAGTGTGAACTCTGATCAGTGATAAAAGAAGGATGCTGAGAGCAAACTGGGCAAGTGCCAATTTCCAGAGTCCTCTCTGATGACTTGGTTGCATCCTGACTTTCCAAGAATCTCTCACCCACATTCAAGCCAAACATCTCAGAGGGGTTTAGAACAACACTGCCTCTGCTGTGATTTCAAAGAGAACTTTAAAACCAAACCCAATTGATGATAAGGACCTACTGTATAGCACAGGGAACTCTACTCAATACTCTATAATGACCTATATGACATCACTTTGCCAACAAAGGCCTGTATAGTCAAAACTATGGTTTTTCCAGTAGTCATGTATGGATGTGAGAGTTGGACCATAAAGAAAGCTGAGCGCCGAAGAATTGATGCTTTTGAATTGTGGTGTTGGAGAAGACACTTGAGAGTCCCTTGGACTGCAAGGAAATCAAATCAGTCAATCCTAAAGGAAATAAACCCTGAATATTCATTGGAAGGACTGATGCTGAACTGAAGCTCCAATACTTTGGCCACCTGATGTGAAGAACCAACTCACTGGAAAAGACGCTAGGATCTGGGAGAAGATGCTGGGAAAGATTGAGGGCAGGAGGAGAAGGGGGCAACAGTGCATGAGATGTTTGGATGGTATCATTGACTCAATGGACATGAGTTTGAGCAAACCCCGGGAGATAGTGATAGACAAGGAAACCTGGAATGCTGCAGTCCATGGGGTTGCAAAGAGTTGGACATGACTGAACAACAAAAACTGATTCACTTTGCTATACACCTGAAACTAACATAACAATGTAAATCAACTATACTCCAAAAAACACCAAAAACCAAACCCAGGTTCTTATTGATGACCTTTGAAGCATTCTCCTATTGGGTTGCTGAAATGGAACAAAAACAGGAATTATTGCTTATATTCAGGCTGGATCTACTTGTCATCAAAATAATTGGTTGAAAATTAAAAATGCAGCTAAAACTTTTTTGGGGTGTCATCTAGCCAAAAAAATCACTGAAAGAGTCAGTATTTACACTGAATCGGAAAACTGGTTTGTATCCAAAGTTGCAGCTTAACTTTAGAACATGCATGGTTCCTCAAACTGAATGTTTAAAAGAAAGTTTCTTCTTTCAGGGTGGGTCAGACAAAAGATAGATCACACCAGGAAAAAAAAGACTTCTTTTTAAAGAGACGGAGTTACCAAAGCCAATCAAAAGAAAAGATTTAAACATCCTACTCAACCCTAAAACCCAACTCCTGCCACTCAGCATCAGAATCTGTTTTGATGCTGAAAATCTCATAAGATCGGAGTTGATCTGTGTCTCAGCATCTAGCCTCAACCATTGAGTCAACCAGTGATCCAAATCATTCAAATATCCTGCAAGAAACTCGTCATGGAAAGCTTCATTTTTTTTTTTCATCAAAAATGTCTCAGCTTCCTTTGGACAGAAATGGAAAGTGACATTTCAAAGTTTAATCCCTTAATATGTAGTCTGGTTCTTTCCAAAGGTTGCAAGATTTCCAAGTTCTGGAATTCATAACTAACCATATGGAAACAGAATGTTCTACATATCTTAGCTTCCCAAATATTGTCAGAGCATGAGTGACTCTCGTTGACACTGGGCAGGACCGTATGTGCAGTCATCCCTCTTTAGCTGCACTCTTTGCCAGGACAAACCCTTTCCTCTCATAAGACTAGTGTCTTTACTGTGCCAAGTGCATTGAATGTTCAATTTCTTCCATCAAGACTTTGCCCTTACCACTCCCCCTACCTCTACTCCACAAAGAGTGCCTTCCCTGTTTATGTTTCCAGATCCATCTCCGATTCCACCTACCCACGAAGCTTTCTTTGATAACAACAACCAAGAAGGCTCTGTACAATTTCTCCCAGCTTGTGGGGTTTATTATCTATATCATACAGGTTGAGACTCATGTGTCCATTTTCCAATCATGACATACTGCCGTGGCTCAACTCCCAAACTAGCCTCTCAGAGAACAAGAGCAAGCTTGAAAGTCAGATGGAAGTCTCTTCCATTTAGGGCCCCTCCACTTTCTAGCTGTGGCAAAAGTGTACCTCTTCCAGCCTCCCTCATTTTTTTCCTCTAACAGAAACTACAGTATCTGTTGACATATTAAAGGGTTAGGAGAGAATATTTGCAATGTGCCAATAGTATTATTACACCTGGCACATAATAACTGGGTACTAAATAATAAATATGTATGTACTTCACAATATCTATCCTGCACAGGGCACACAATGGGTAATGGATCATGACTTGATGACTTCACACATTAAAAAAAATTATTATTTATTTGGTTGGGTTGAGTCTTAGTTGTGGTTTGAGGGCTTAGTTTTGGTTTGAGGGCTTAGTTGCCTGGGGGTGTGTGGGATCTTGTTTCCCTGACCAGGGATCAAACCTGATCCCCTGCATTGGAAGGTCGATTCTCAACCACTGGACCACCAGGGAAGTCCTGACTTCACACATTTTAATGCAGTATCCCTGAGACTTAGATAATAAAATAAAAATAATTCTAGGGTTATGAGACTGGGAAAGGTCATAAGAAGTCATCTTACTATGATGTATCTGTTGATATGGAAATATATTCACTATCTATTATTAAGGCAAAAAGACAGCTTCTTAAGTAGGATGTTTGGGATCTGTATGCATTTGTGTGTGTATGTATATGCACATACATATAAACATGTGTGTGTGTGTGTGTGTGTGTGTGTGTGTGTAGTTTTTAACTTGGAAAGTGTTCACCAAAATGCTAAGAGTAGTTATCTCTGATTTGTAGGGTTACAAACAGTCTTAATTGTCTTTTTGCCTATCAATTTTTACATTTTGAAAATGTTCTACTTGTATAAATAAGACATAATAAGTGATTTTCAAAATATCCTATGTATATATAATTAAACTATGAATATAGATCAGGTCTGGGAGGTAGGAAAAATGCAAAAATGAAAAAAAGGGAGTTGTGGGATATGAGTGCTTTCTCTCAATAAGAAATAGTTATTTCTTATTGTTTCATTATGTTTATAATAGAATTTTTAGTTTGTAGAAATCATTTTCTAAATCATTCCTATACTTTTGAAAAAGTGAAAGTCACTCAGTCTAGTGGATAGCCTATCCCTCCTGTAGCAGATCTTCCTAACCTAGGAGTTGAACCAGGGTCTCCTGCATTGCAGGTGGATTCTTTACCAACTGATCTATCAGGGAGTGCTAATCAGTTTCATTTCTACTCAATAAATAATTGGCTGTTCTCAACAGGCAGTATTCTGAAACAGGGGTCTTTTTCAGCTCCCAAGAATTACCCACATCCATAAAATGGGCAACCTATGTCTTGACCCATCTGTTAAGTAGTTTCTTGCCTGGTGGACCCCAGTGATTTAGACTCTGGTGCTCTGTGTCATGTGGCTCCTGCTAAGACTTTGTGAATTATTCTATGGCTATGGGGATTAACAAATTCTTGTCCTGGTGGCCAGGGTGAGGACATAAGCCTCCGTTTGTGTGCATCAGCCTATGTCTTGGAGGCTAGAAACACAGTGCCTACAGGTGAGTGAGTAGCCCTGGGATGCAGACTGTTTTTTCTCCATCATCTGATCTTCTGTCCTAGGCAATGTGTGCCTCTCCATGCCACCTTGTCATGGTTGCCAGCTCAGGACTGGGGTATGGACTCTGACTCTCATCCCACATGGACACACAACCTGGATTCGGAACAGAGGTCAAGAAGTAAGTGGAGCCAAGACAAGGAGACACAGGGTAGGGTTGGAGGGGTCTTGTTCCTGTCCCTGTCAGCTTCAGGAACAGTTAAGCACATTGTGTGTGTGTGTGTGTGTGTGTGTGTGTGTATGCGTGTGTGTGTGTGTGTGTGAAAGTGTTAGTTGCTCAGTCATGTCTGACTCCTTGAGACCCCACGGACTGTACCCCTCTAGGCTCCTCTGTCCGTGGAATTCTTCAGGCAAGAATACTGGAGTGGGTTGCCATTCCCTTAACCAGGGGATCTTCCTGATCCAGGGATCGAACCTGGGTCTCTTGCATTGCAGGCATATTCTTTACCATCTGAGCCACCAGGGAAGCCCTATGCAATAGCAGATGTATTTTAAATAATTTACTTATCAGAAACAAAGAAAACCAAGCTCATATGGGATTTAACCCAGGACCTCTCACACCCTAAGTGAGAATCATAGTCCAATGTGATAGCACATGTATTTTAAATTAATTATTTATCAGAACAAAAATCACATGGCTTGTCTGGGATTTGAACCCAGGACCTCTTACACCCAAAGCAAGAATCATGCCGCTAGACCAACAAGCCACATGTTTTTGGAGGTCTCACCTGGAGTTTTAAAGTCATAAGTATCCAGTTAACAACAATAGGAACAGAAGGCATTTACTGAGTGTTCGTATGTGTCAGACTCTCATCTCTGCAATGGAGCTAAACAGTTAGATTATATACTTTGTATACTTATTGTGGAGGCTCTCTCCAACCTGATGGTGCCTTCCCAATTCCAAACAAAGAAGAAAGTAACACAATGAATACAGATGAACTCTGGGTTAAGCAACCACTGACCACTGTTCCATGTTTGTCAGGAAGAGGCAGATTTCTGGGACCTTATCTCCTTGTTTCATTAGGTTGTGTTTCTGCCAGAAAAATCTACATCTTCTTTATTAACACTTGCTTTAATCTATTCTGTATGATCATTTCAGAAAATAACTCCAGAGAACAAGATTTCAGCTTCTGGACCAAGGGTGAGCATAGTGGGTGGACAGACTTCCCAACTTGCCTGATGAGGTGGATGGAAATGTGGTCTGTGTTACTATACATAGTATATACAGCTGCTGCTGCTGCTGCTAAGTCGCCTCAGTCATGTCCGACTCTGTGCGACCCCATGGACTGCAGCCCACCAGGCTCCCCCGTCCCTGGGATTCTCCAGGCAAGAACACTGGAGTGGGTTGCCATTTCCTTCCTCCAATGCATGAAAGTGAAAAGTGAAAGGGAAGTCTCTCAGTCGTGTCCAACTCCTAGCGACCCCATGGACTGCAGCCCACCAGGCTCCTCCGTCCATGGGATTTTCCAGGCAAGAGTACTGGAGTGGGGTGCCATTGCCTTCTCCGAGTATATACAGCAGGAGTATGATTTCCTAATAACAGTAAAAGAGAATGTGTCCTCGGAGATACACTGCCCACTAACAAAGAATTGTGTCATAGAAAATGTAAGTAACTATGTTATAATACGATTCCTACACAATGTTCTGATTATCTATCTTGATTTTCAGAATGACAAAGAGTGTGGGAGTTTTCAGTAACAATTTAAGGTGTCCTATATTAAACCAAGATCTTTCACAGTGTGACCTGGAAAATGATGGATCAAAAGGGATAGATTCAGTCATCATGGATCAGTTTCCTTTGGTGAGGGTGTGAGAGAGAGAGAGAGAGAGGGAAGAAGGGAGAGAGGAGATATATCTAAGGATATGGAGAGTCATTTTGTTTAGAGAACGTGGCCTGAAGCTTATAACAATGCCTTAACAAATCTCCTGGCACTGGAATCCAAGCATTGATTTTCATTAAACTTTGGAGCTTTTGCAGTTCTCACTGAGCTGAGGTCAGAGCTGGCGGAGTAGGACCCAGCTGTGTGCCCTAATAACCACAGCCTCTGAGTCTGTATATGGTCTTAATGGCCAGGGAAGCCTCCTCTTCTTCCTCCCTACCGTGACTGTCATTGCTTCAGAAATGCCCCCCAAATGGCACTAAATGATGTGCAAACACAGCAGCTGGATTGCTAATCTTTTTTCGAGGCTTCTTTAATCGTACATTCATAGCCCCTTGGAGCAAACTCAATTTCTCTCTGTGCACGCTATTTCCACTTCTACCATTCTAGAAGAAATCATTTTGGCAAACACACTTTTTGAGTTAGATGAGAGGTAATTTATACAATTGCTTACCTACTATTGACAACAGGCAGCAACTCCAGTCACAGGACGAAGGATGGCTATTCATTACTCACAGTGGAGACACATAAATGGATCTGGAGCCTTTTATGAGGCTTGTAGCAGTGAACTTGGGGCAAGCAAATCTTGTGTGTTTGAGGGGTTAGGGAATAGAAAACCAGAAGTCACCTCTTTAGACCTTCACCTTTACATTGAACACCACATCTGAAGAGAGACTCAAAAGGGTCCAACAGAGAGAATAAAGCTTGAATGGTACAAATGTCAAATACCATATGCTGAAGTAGGCACTGCCAGGGCATCCATGCTAAGATTGTAGCTGTGGTCCTGATCTTGGAGGGTAATTAGGCAACTGAGTGATGAGACATGTTTATTTTCCCCAATGGACCAGTCAGCCCACCTTTTATGCCTCCTGAGGGAGCCTGTGGTCACATCCAACAGAATTCCAAATGTGCTCAGAAAATGCTTTATACTTCAGGCTCAGTAGAGAATTTAAAAAAGAGAGTGAAAAAGTTGGCCTAAAGCTCAACATTCAGAAAACTAAGATCATGGCATCCAGTCCCATCACTTTATGGCAAATAGATGGGGAAACAGTGGAAACAGTGGCTGACTTTATTTTTCTGGGCTCCAAAATCACTGCAGATGGTGATTGCAGCCATGAAATTTAAAGACGCTTACTCCTTGGAAGGAAAGTTATGACCAACCTAGACAGAATGCTAAAAAGCAGAGACATTACTTTGTCAACAAAGGTCTGTCTAGTCAAGGCTATGGTTTTTCCAGTGGTCATGTATGGATGTGAGAATTGGACTATAAAGAAAGCTTAGCACCGAAGAATTGATTCTTTTAAACTGTGGTGTTGGAGAAGACTCTTGAGAGTCCCTTGGACTGCAAGGAGATCCAACCAGTCCATCTGAAGGAGATCAGTCCTGGGTTTTCATTGGAAGGACTGATGTTGAAGCTGAAACTCCAATACTTTGGCTACCTGATGCGAAGAGCTGACTCTTTGGAAAAGACCCTGATGGTGGGAAAGGTTGAGGGCAGGAGGAGAAGGGGACAACAGAGGATGAGATGGTTGGATGGCATCATCAACTCGATGGACATGGGTTTGGGTGGGCTCCGTGAGTTGGTGATGGACAGGGAGGCCTGGCGTGCTGTGGTTCATGGGGTAGCAAAGAGTTGAACACGACTGAACGACTGAACTGAATACACATATACATACATATGTATATATGTTATATATGTATACATATGTATATACACGTATACATACATATGTATATATGTTATATATGTATACATATGTATATATACACATACATAGATATGTATATATGTATATGTATGCATATACATATGTATATATACATATACATACATATTTATGATCCATTCATGCACACCCATGAATGGATCATAAGCTCTTTTCTAGGTGTGTTTGTTCTAAGCCAGGACTGATGCAGAAGCTGAAGCTCCAATACTTTGGCCACTTGATGTGAAGAACTGACTCATTGGAAAAGAGACAGGCTGGGAAAGATTGAGGGTAGGAGGAGAATGGGCCAACAAAGGATGAGATGGTTGGATGGCATCAGCGACTCAATGGACATGAGTTTGAGCAAGCTCTGGGAGATAGTGAAGGACAGGGAAGTTTGATGTGCTGCAGTCCATGGGGTCGCAAAGAGTCAGACATGACTTAGTGACTGAACAACAACAATTGGTTTACAGCAACAGCTGCCCATTAGAATCCCCTGAGAAGCTTTGAAAATTCCCTAATGTCCAGGCCCAGCCCAGACCAACTGACTCACAATTGCTGGGGGTGGGACCCAGGAGCCAGTATTTTTCTGAGCTCCCCAGATGTGCAGCCAAGGTTGAGAACCAATGCTTTAAGCATTTAAAGCTAATCAAGGCAATGGGTTTCTAGTGCATATTGGAATCATCTTGGAAGCTTGTTAAAATGCAGATTTATGGGGGACTTCCTTGGTGGTCCAGTGATTAAGACTCCAGACTTCCACTGCAGGGGGCATGAGTTTGATCCCTGGTCAGGGAAGCAAGATCCTGCATGCTGCACAGTCCCCCCCTAAGAAAAGAAAAAGAAAAATGCAGATTCATGGGTCTGGGTTTGGGGCCTGAGATTCTGTATTTTCAAGAAGCTCCCTAGGTGATTCTGAGGTTGGAAATCCATGGGTCACACACTGAGAATCCTAGTTAGAGAATTCTTCCCTGGAGTTTGTGTGTTTCCCATGCCTCATTCATTGTTTAATTTCATATTGGTCTTCTCCTTTCATACAGATCCCCCTTTGCCAGTGAGTATGTGGGAAGTTCCGGTCCCTGACAGTAATCAGGCTGATAAATTCAGACACTTCACCTTGTCACTTCCAGAAGTACCCAGTCTATATATCTAAGAGGTGCTAGAGGCATACCTTCAGGGGTGAAGGTGGACAGAACAGGAAGAGAGGGGAAAAGCTGGCTCGAGTTTAGTAGGTGCTGGAGAGGGAATGAGATTCGGAGTTGAGAACTTGGTCTCTTAGACAGCCACCATTGGAAAGATCAGCCCTGTAGCACCCCCTGCATTGCCGCCAAAAAAAAAAGAAAGAAAGAAAAGGTAGAATCTACTCAAACTGGGCCCAGACCATGGGGTCCCAAGGGTGCTTCCTGAGTGGGTCCAAGCTGTATCTGGCTCTGCTCCAGGCATCTCCTCCCTGCAACACTGCTTCCTTGCCCAACCTGTTGGGCTGACCTCCAGGAGAAAAGTCTGAGTATTGCTGCTGATGAATTTCTCGAAGATAAGAGGAAAGGGATGGAGTGGAAGAAAGCATGACCACAAGAAAGAAATCCCCAGTGAATTTCCTAACTGCCTGTGATGTTAGATAGTTGTCCATTCTCTGTAA